TTATTACATACACAATGAATACACACAATACTGGCCACGTTCATCACAGAGGTCAGGAGATCGAGACCATCGCTGGCTAACAGGTAAAACCCCGTCTCTACTAAAAATACAAAAATTAGCCGGGGTGGCAGGGTGCCTGTAGTCCCCGCTACCTCAGGAAGGCTGAGGCAGGAAATGGCGTAAACAGGGAGGTGGAGCTTGCAGTGAGCAAGATCGTGCCACTGCACTCCAGCCTGGGACAGAGCGCGACTGCTCTCAAAAAAAAAAAAAAAAAAAAAAAGGCCGGGCGCGGCCAAACCTGTAATCCCAGCACTTTGGGAGGCGAGACGGGCGGATCACGAGGTCAGGAGATCGAGACCATCCTGGCTAACACGGTGAAACCCCGCTCTACTAAAAATACAAAAAAAACTAGCTGGGCGACGGGTGGCGGGCGCCTGTAGTCCCAGCCTACTCGGGAGGCTGAGGCAGGAGAATGGCGCAAACCCGGGAGGCGAGCTTGCAGTGACTGAGATCCGGCCACTGCACTCCAGCCGGGCTACAGAGCAAAGACCCGTCTCAAAAAAAAAAAAAAAAAAAAACGAAATACACTATACTTTTTTTTTTTTTTTTTTGAGACGGAGTTCTCACTCGTCACACGGGCTGAGTGCGGTGCCGGGATCTCAGCCCACTGCAACCTCTGCCTCTCCGGCTTCAAGTGATTCCCCTGATCAAGTTTCCCTGAGTAGCTGGAATTACAGGTGCCGCCACTACGCCCAGCTAATTTTTTTGTATTTTTAGTAGAGACAAGGTTTCAACTGTTGGCCAGGCTGGTCTCGAACTCCTGAGCCTCATGATTTGCCCACTTTGGCCTCCCAAAGTGCTGGGATTACAGGCATGACCACCGCAACCCAGCCACTTTTTTTTTTTTTTTTTTTTTTTTTGAGACAGGATCTTACTCTGTCACTCAGGCTGGAGTACAGTGGCATGAACAGGGCTCACTGCAGCCTCAATCTCTTGGGTTCAGGTGATCCTTCTGCCTTAGCCTCCTCATTAGCTGGGACCACAGGCATATACCATCACACCCAGCTAATTTTTAAATTTTTGGTAGAGACCAGGTGCAGTGGCTCATGCCTGTCATCCCAGCACTTTGGGAGGCGGGTGGGTCACCTGAGGTCGGGAGTTCGAGACCAGCCTGGCCAACATGGTGAAACCCTGTCTCTACTAAAAATACAAAAAAAAAAAAAATTAGCTGAGTGTAGTGGTGGGCCCCTGTAATCCCAGCTACTCAGGAGGCTGAGGCAGGAGAATCGCTTGAACCCGGGAGACGGAGGTTGCAGTGAGCCAAGATTGTGCCACTGCACTCCAGCCTGGGCAACAGAGTGAGATTCTGTCTCAAAAAAATAATAATATTAATAATAATAATAATGCTATTTATTGAGTTTTCACCTTGTACCAAGCATGGGAAGCTTTGCCTCCATTATGTCACTGAAATCTCATAACCTCCTTTTCCAGCAGAGGAAAATGAGGTTGCTTTACAGACCAGGTTGTCAACAGCTGTGCTCTGTCCAGAACGCGCTGACCTCCAAGTAGACAGCTCTGGACGGGTAGGGAAGCCTGCTATGATCCAGTGGCGCCCCCTGGAGGTCTACCGGGAACATGGTAAAGAACCTAGGCTGGGCGTGGTGGCTCACGCCTGTAATCCCAGCACTTTGGGAGGCCAAGGACAGTGGATCACGAGATCAGTAAATCGAGACCATGCTGGCTAACACGGTGATATCCCGTCTCTACTAAAAATACAAAAAATTAGCCGGGCGTGGTGGCGGGCGCCTGTAGTCCCAGCTACTCGGGAGGCTGAGGTGGAAGAATGGTGTGAACCTGGGAGGCGGAGCTTGCAGTGAGCCGAGATCATGCCATGCACTCCAGCCTGGGCGACAGAGCGAGACTCCGTCTCAAAAAAAAAAAAAGCCAGGCAAGGTGACTCACACCCATAATCACGGCACTTTGGGAGGCCAAGGCAGGCAGATCGCTTGAGCACAGAAGTCTGAGATCTGCCTGGGCAACATGGCGAGACCCTGCCTCCATGAAACAAGATAAAATAAAAAAACTAAGTACTGTTCCATCATTTGCCTCGTAAAATCTAAATCCTCTGGTGCAGAACGGACTTGCAAAGCTGCCTGTAAAATCATACACCGGATTTTGGAGTAGACACACAGGAGGTTGATCGTAGTGCTGGCTTCCAGGAGAAGAACTGGGGGTAGGGGGCACAGATAAGAGTAGACAGAATTTTCACCCTAGTAATCTTTTTGTAGTTTTTGAAATTTTCTCTACCAGGTATATGAAAGACCAATGAAAATATACAATAGGCCAGGCGCGGTGGCTCATGCCTGTAATCCCAGCACTTTGGGAGGTTGAGGAGGGTGGATCACCTGAGGTCAGAAGTCTGAGGCCAGCCTGACCCACATGGTGAAACCTCGTCTCTACTGAAAATACAAACATTAGCCAGTTAGGGAGCATCACCTGAGAACAGGAGTTCAAGACCAGCCTGGACAACAAAGCAAGACCTCCGTCTCTACAAAAAAAAAAAAAAAATTCATCTTTCCAGTATTTCCTCCCTAGCTTATCCTCCCCTTTGCCCCCTTCTTTTTAAATAAAGACACCAAAAATGAAAAAAAAAAAAAATA